TATATTCATGTATATTATGTAACAGATACCATAACCCCCTATCACACATATATCATATCATGCAATTCATATCACACATCATATACATATATCACATACATTGTTCTCATATCACCAACCTGTTTATCCTTACTAATTCCCTTGTCATTACTTCAATTCCGTCATATGAGCATATAATGAATATAAACATATTATATATATTATTTTAATATGCCACAATACATTACTAATTTCTATAATCATATAATACATAAACACATAGTATCTCATATCACCATGACATATATGCACTTCTACCATGTCACGAGAAATACACATATCATTATATCAAATTATGTTCTCTTTTCAAAGCCCATGTATACATGTGAGAACTATAGATATGTGAGTCTATAGAGGTTGTGCAACTATGTTGTCACCACAGCTCGTATAATTGCACCGAAATGCCACTTAGAATTGCATCGGAGTGCCGCGTAGAATTGCACCTTAGTTCCATATAATAATGTCCATAAGGACCACATATCATTCCTTAAGAATCATATACATATACTAGGGATCAAGTATGTGTCTCACCAGACTTCACACATGTTCCAAAGAATACATATATGTCCCGAAGGACCACATATCATTCCTTAAGAATCATATACATATGCCAAGGATCAAGTATGTGTCTCACCAGACTTCACACATGTTCCAAAGAATACATATATGTCCCGAAGGACCGCGCAGACCCTCTTAGCATGCCAACTATACCCCTAGCTCTCATGACACATAACATGGGCATTAATATTTATGTTAACATACATTCACATATACACATAGTCATGTATTTCTTTCACATAGCTCATCGTCATATAAATCACATATCACATATACATATAAACACATGGTTCACTTACGCGTAGAACATTTCCATATAATCGCATAGTCATATAATATTTCATATAACATATATTTTCTCTTTCATATATCTCATATCATGTATCATATATTGTGATCATATAATCATGTTACTTATAATCACATAACTTCTACTCATAGGGTTCAACATCATTAAACTTAGTTCCCTTTTTCATATCATCATACATTTATATATTCTTATATGTCCTATCAATAACCTATAAACTTACTCATATTCTCATATATCATTTTAATATAATTTGTATAGTAATACTCTATAATTGTATCATATAATGATTTTACCCAAGTACTCCTTTATAAAGTTTATATTACAGGTTCAATTAGTCTCATTCTATCTTATAAATAATTTCCACTTATTTTATATCATTTTCCTTTTCCACTCACATAAACCATCTATTTATTTAGTTCAATTTCTCATGACTTCCACAATACTCTTTAATAAAACTTTGTAGCTCTTCACTTTAATACATAAACCATAGTTTCCTTTAATTTATCAATCTTCCGTATACAACTTATGTATCCTTATTTATGCCCTCGAATTTATAATATTCTCTTAGAGTCTCCTAACATTTCTCGTATAATCACTTATACCATATCATATGACTTATACTTGATTATCTTATTCTCTCGTGTTCATTTCATTTCTTATGACTCTATCATATAACTTATTCCATGTTTTTCCATTATTACATAATAAAGTTTTACATAAATCATATAGCATATACAAAGCATAACATTATCTTTAGTCATGCATACATACAATCAATGTAATACAGATAATCACATATAATTATAACAACACATAATCATGTCCATGACTTCATGCATATTACTCTAGGAAATAGACTCATCGCAAGTCTTATTTCCATTAAACACTACATATCACTAGTATGCACTCACATTGGCCTTACTAGTCAATTCCAATCTCTTATCTTTCCCTTGATCGATCTTACTTGCCAAATGTTCCGGAATTGCTTTACGCGCAGAATCTACATAAATGTACATTTTGAGGCAATCATTAGATACCTACACCTTGTAATTGGATACTAGCAACTTAAACGAACTTATTAAACCAATATTCATATTTTTCCTTTAGGGGGAATCAATTCCCTCCTGTGGGGGAATCGGTTCCCCTATGAGATTCTGGAATTTCTGGTTCGCTTGAGGGGTATCGATTCCCCATTGAATGGTTACCGATTCCCTTGAATGGGTACCGATTCCCCTTACCCATAAATCATATTTTCAGCACGAAATTTACTTCATTTCATCTTAAACACTTCATATTTCAACCTCTTCTATATACTAAACTCAAACACACATACTTAAGCCCATTTGTACTCATTTAATCCATCTTAATTCTCAAAATCCTCTCCTCTTAATGAAATTCAAGAATTATACTCAATTTTCAACATGTTCTAAATTCCTTTCTATCACTCCAAATCTCTTAATTCAACTATTGACAAGTTAAATTCAACTTAAAATTCAACTTATCAACTTTATTTCAAGATTTCATTCAAAAACTCAAAATCTTTAATCTCTCCTATACCTTTCATCTTGTTGTTTTAGAACCAATTAAGCTTTCCTTAAGCTTAATTACCATCCAATGATCAAAACCCAACCTTTAGTTGAACAAATAATCAACTAATGAAGAAACTTACCTTTGCCCTTGAGCTCTTACGGGAGGAGAAAGAAGAAAGGAAGAAGAGATGAAATGTTTTCATCTTCCACGTTTCAATCTCCTATTAAAGGGGATAAAAATATCTTTATTGTCAAATGACCATTTTACCCTTTACTACTTTGGATAATTACTAAAAACTTCCAGGGATTATCTTCACATAAATCATTAAACTTTTCAACTTTTCCACTTTAATCACCAAATTCTGAGATTTTACAATTTAGTCACTAACCCATAATTTGGGATGTTACACCATACCTATTTGTGATGCGGATGGAGAGGCTATCTCAAGCAATAAATGGTGAAGTGCACAAAAAGCTTTGGAAACCTTTTAAAAAAATAAGAATGGTCTAGAGATCTCGGATTTATTCTTCATCGATTATATGATCCTTTTTGCTGAAGCATCAACTAACCAACTAGAGGTTATAAAAAGGGTTCTTGAGCACTTTTGTTTAGCCTCCGGATAGAAAATTAACATTGAAAAAACAAACATCTTTTTTTTTCAAAGAATGTAACAGAGGGTGAGCGAAAGTTAATAAGCGAGGATTTTGGTTTTAAAAAGGTAAAAAAACTAGGTAAATACCTAGGAGTGCCTCTAATTCATGGAAAGGTGACAAGAACCACGTATCAATACCTAGTGCAAAATATGCATGAAAAGATGACTGATTGGAAAACCAAACAACTTTCTATAGTCGGACGAATCATCTTAGCCAAGGCGGTGTTGGCAACAATACATTCCTACACAATGCAATCCACTTCCTTGCCTAAAGGTATATGCTTGGAAATAGAACGAATTATGAGGAAGTTTGTGTGGGGTCATTCGGAAGTTAAGAAATGAACCAACCCTGTGAACTGGGATGCATTATGTAAACCAATAAATAAATGAGGCGTAGGATTGAGAAATATTATACCACAAAATGAGGCGTAGGATTGAGAAATATAATACCACAAAATGAGGCGTTCCTCATGAAAATCGCATTCCAGTTACTCAGTAACAAGAATAAGCTGTGGGTTCAACTATTGTGGTCAAAATACAAATGAAAGGATAATTTACCGATAAGCATCAAAAGAGCAAATTGCTGAAATTTATGGAGAAGACTGGCCAAAATTTGGGAGAACATATGCTTTGGAGTAGTTTGGAATATAGGTAACGACCAATCAACAAAAGTTTTGGAGGGATTCGTGGTTGCAAGAAATTGGTCCTTTATACAACCATATCACGGGCGACGAATTTCCGAGCATAATTTCAAACTCAGTTGCTTCTCTGGTGAATGAAGAAGGTGAATGGAAGTGGGATGAAATTGAGCCTTATCTTCCACAACGGATTCTTGTAAAGATTGCAGCGATCAAACCTCCGCTAGCTTCTTTCCAAATGATTCACTAGGTTGAAAATGGAACATAAATAGAAGATTTTCAGTCAAACCCGCTTATGAATCTTGTACAAAGCAAGAAGATGACGGAGAGGAAAGTATATGGAAAGTGATTGCAAATCACAAAGGGACACAAATGATCAAGACGTTCTTGTGGTTGGTGACAAGAAAAGCAATATTAACGAATGGAGAAAGAGTGCGCAGACATATAGCAACTGATGCAAGCTGTGTAGGCTATGTCAATGGATAGGAGGATGTGGATCATATACTACGAAAATGTCCAATGGCAAGCTCATTGTGGATGATGCTTATAAAAGAAGATAAATGGGCAGATATCTTCTCAACAAACATAAAAGACTGGATATACGAGAACCTAGCCAATCCATCGCAATTTGTAAGAAATTGGGAAACATGGGAAATAATATTTTGTGCCATTCTAAGGAATATTTGGAAACAGAGGAATAAAAAACTCTTTGATCCAGAAAATGTCTAAGAAGAAACTGTATTGGAACGTAGTAAATGGTAGAAGCGGAGACTTGCAAGGCTACAACAGCGGAAAAGGAAATACAGGCCATTGAATGATGTAAATCAAGGGCGGAAACAAAATGGACACAACCTCCAGAAGGGTGGCTCAAATTAAGCATAGATGGTGCAAAGGACAACTCAAAGGATCTATCCTATTGTAGAGGTGTTATAAGGGATGATAGGGGCCAATGGAGATCGGGATTCCACAAGTTGAATAATAATTATTAAAATAATAATTAAACATTTATACAATAATAAAATAATTTCCAAACACACCCATCTACGATACAATATATTAGATTAGGACCGTTACTGCCAAAATAAATGTTAGGAATGGCGATTATTGGAGTAAATTAAGAAAAAAAGATTTGCAACAAATTAAGAAGTAAATTATAATCAAATCATGACATAAACAGTCTTCAAAACACAGAAAAACGCAGTTAATTTTCAAGAATATCAAATGAAACTAACAATGAGCAGATCCTAAATAATAGTAATAATAAGATAATTAACTACATCAGCAAATACATCATAACCAGCACTCCTCCAAGAGCCGTCACGAAATAAGATGCAACCGTCTGCTTGATGGTCGAATTGTGCGGCTGCGGCCCCCAAAACGAGTCCCAACCCTCCCCATCATCGTCTTCCATAGGCGAAGGTGCCAGCCGAGGAGAGCTGATCGCAGCCGCAGGGTGCACCATTACTCGAACAATCAGTTTCTGACCAGCTTGACAGTGACCTCGCTCCCCACTGATGAAGTAGAAGAACCCGTACCGATCGAACACGAAAACCCTTTTCCCGTCTTTCAACTTAAAGATCGGATCACCAACATTGCAGTTGGTGTAGCTTATATGATCCACCACCAACATTGAGTCATTGTTGTACTCAAAATCTAGCAACACACAAGTACACAACCAAACATAAGCAAAACTATACGTTTGTATGTATGTATGTATATATGTAGTAAACTTACAAAGAGAATCCCCAACGTGAAAGCGGTTCCTGGAGGCCCATCCGTTGTAAGTTTCGGATTCGTTTCCGGTGGGTTTTGTCCAACCTTTGTCCCCACCAACTTTGAACTGAAAAGAAGCGGTGGCGACGGTGACCATGGAGATGAAAACCAGAGTTCTGAAGATCAAATGAAGCCATTTTTAAAGCTTGAATTGTTGTGGAATTTGAGCTGATAGATAGAACCACGGTGAAGAGCAAAGTTGCTAACTTTATAAGGGAATTGCAAAAGTGGGCGGTGGAATGGCAGTTATGTTAGTTACCTTTATTGCGTGGGTTGATTGTGGGGTTCTACAGTCAATGACTTGTTAGTCCCACGTTGTTTTGAACTTTGACTTGGTCTCATTGTTATCCCCTGGATTGAAATCCAGTATGATCAATTTATTCAACGGTTGTGATCCTCGGATTCTTGTTGATCACACTGATACGAGAATTGACATTCATGCCATTGCAGTTCTTAAACCCTTTTTTTTTTAAAGAATAGTTTTTAAGCCTCATTTATTAATTAAGGGATGATAATCAATTGAGTATTAATTGAGGAGAAGTGACGGATCAGAGTAAGAGAACACGTCTCAAAACTTTGGAAATGTATCTTCAGATTACATCAGAGGCCACAGAGTTCAATACGTTTCTTTTGAACTCAAACCAATGAACTCCTAGGTAAGATTATAGTGACGGTATATAAGCAAGGCAATGAAAGAATCAAACAATCAAAGAATTTTGAACCCTGGTGGCCTCTCAAGCAGTTGTTTCGCTTTCTTCATCATCCGAAACAATGTCCTCGACAGTTAAGCTACAAGAGAAGGTAAGACTCGGTTTCATCTTCGGCACGGCTACCGGATCCGACTCATTGTTGAGGATCTGAAGGACTCGCCTGATTGAAGGCCTCACGGCATCGTCGGGGTGTGCACAGCTCAAACCTATGAGCAACATCTTCCTCATTTCGTCCTCCTTGAAATCCCCATTCAACCTTTTATCAGCAGCTTCAATGATCCTTCCCTCACCAAACAAACCCCACACCCAGTCAACCAAATTCATCATCTTCTGGCTGTTTAGTCCCCCTTCCCTCTCGATTGGTCTTCTACCGCAAGCTACTTCGAGAATCACAACACCGTAGCTGAAAACATCGGTTTTCTCGGTTGCTTTCCCGTACTGAAGATACTCAGGGGCAAGGTAGCCCATAGTTCCTGCGGTGAGTGTTGAAACCGGACTCTTGTCATGATCCATCAACCTTGCCAATCCGAAATCACCGAGTCTTGGATTAAAGTTACCATCAAGCATTATATTACTCGTCTTTATGTCTCTGTGAATGACTTGTTGCTCACATTCTTGGTGCATATAAGCCAAGACAGAGGCCAATCCTACTGCAATATTTTGCCTATGGGACCATGTGAGCAATACGCCATTCGCAGGGTCTTGATGAAGCACCGTATCAAGGCTTCCATTAGGCATAAACTCATAAACAAGCAGCAATTCACCTTTCTCGGCACACCAACCTTGTAGCTGAACCAGATTCTTGTGCCTCAAAGCAGCTATAATGGACAATTCAGCAAGGAACTCGGTTTTACCTTCGCCTGAGTGTTTCGATCTTTTCACTGCACTAACAGAACCCGAAGAAGCAACAGCCTTATAAACATTCCCGAACGCCCCACACCCGATGATTCTACTTGAGTGGAACCCTCTTGTGGCAGCGTACAGTCCTTTGTAACTAAACTCCCGAGGCCCTGACAAAATCTCAGCTTTGAGATTCTTGTCTACTCTCGTATCCTTCCATTTCTTCGCAGAAACATAACCGAAAACAGAAAGAACCACGAAAAAGAAAGCCGGACTGGCGATTCCGAGTCCTAAAGGGAGCCTGCTGTGGTGTTTATTGGGAATATTTGATGCAGGAACAGTCGGTATGATCGTAACTGAAGTACCAGATACATTATGAGGATGTGATTTTGGTCTCACGGGAAGGAAACCAGAAGTCTTGAAACTCCAATTCTCAACTGTATGAATTGCTGTACTCCCTTCTGTTGAAGCTGAGAACCCGACAAAGACGTACTCTTTAAGGTAACCAGACAAATCAATGTCAACAGACAACAATGGTGTCGGAGGTTTAACAGTCGAATAACTCAAGAAAACATGCAAGACCTTCAAATCATTCTTGTAAACAATCCAAGCACTGATCAAATTCCCACTCTTCAAATCAATATCTTGAAACAATGCATCAGCTGCCTCTATGGAGATGATCGAGTTAACATCCAAACCGACATGGTTGTCATTCGAATCATTGAATCGAGTATTGAGCTTGGTATCGAACTCAACGGCTAAAAACTTGTTCTTGGCCAAACCCGAAGAGTTAGCAAGACCGAGATACCCACCTGGACTTCCGAGGATTTGGTTATCAGGCGAAAGAAAGAACGTTAAGCCATCTCCGTAAGAGCTTGGATAGGGGCTGGTGATGGAAAAAGAGAAACGTGTGGAGAAAGAAGCTGTGATATTGGATTCTTGATCGAAGAAACGAATTGGGTAGTTGTAGATGAGGGTACCAGAGCTTGAAAAAGGAACGTCAGTCTCCCTGGTTAGGCCTATGACGCCATTTTTAAGATGGGAATCGCCGAGGAGAGTGATGTTCCTGACAGTGAAGAATGGGAAATTGAAGCTGGTGCTTTCAGCAGAGATTAGAAATGGGGAATCGAAGGAGACGAGGAGGAGGAGGAGAAGGAGAAGAAGCGGCAAGAAAACAAGAAGGTTTCTTGGTAGCATTGTTTTTTATATCGGATTCTGTGATTGGAGAAACAAATTACCCAAATCGATGCTAAGTTATGAAAGTGTTTGAAGTTTTTGCAAATGGAGAGAAAGAGAGAGGTTTAAAGGGTTGGAAAATAGGCGCCATTGGGTTTTTGAAGAAGATGATGAAAAGAAGAGCATGGACAAGTAACATTTCTTGGAGCCTTTCTTCTTTTAACTAAACAATGGAAATATAACGGTTAGATCGAAGATAATTGATTTGATCAATGTGCAAACGGTGTAGTTTTAGGTGGATTAAAGTCTAATAAGAATGAGACGAGAGATCCTAAGTTGGATTTTGTATGTCGGTGTGTTGACTTCATTTTTCAATCAAAGGACCATGAGTAGCAACGCAACTAAGTGTGTATTAGAAGATAAAATCAGACAAATTATAATTTCCCAATGTTCTAAAAGGTTTCTTTTACTTTACCCTAAGATTTATTTTTCTTCCTTTGTTTGATTTTTATCGATTAACATTGGCATGGTCTACCGAGATTTTGTTTCATTAATGTATATTTTAAACTTAAAATATCTTCTAACTTAACAAAAATGTGTAAATGAACCGAGCTTGAACATATAAGAATATGTCTATATTCCTTCAAATAAAAAGAATATGTATATATTCTTTTAAATTTTTAATATCTTATTTGTATTTATTTATTAAGGTATTTGTGTTCGTTTATTTAGCGTTTGCGAATATGTTCGTTTAACGTTCGAGAACATATTCATTTATGTGTTTGTGAATATGTTCGTGAACATGTTTGTTTATATGTTCACGAACATGTTCATTTGCAAGCTAAAAAATGATAAAACTATGTCACTAGTACTTAAACTCCTTAAGCTTCATAATATAAACACCATATTCCATCATGTGTTCAATTTAGTCACTACATTTACCAATATTTAAAATGTAAAAAAAAATACAAAGTAATGAGCATGTTCGTGAACATAAAAGAATGAGTCGATAAACAAGCTTGTTCGTGAACATAAATGAATCAAACACACATATGTTTGTGCTCGTCTATTTATTAAATGAACACTAAAATTTTAGTATCTATTTAACTTAACAAACGAATATAAAACATATGTTATATGAACGAAATATAAACAGTTCACTAAAAGCTCAGTTCATTTATACCCCTCGTCTTAGCCAACCTTCATTAATCAAAACTTACATTTATGATATAGTTAAAAGCATCTAAAGATGGAAGGTGGGGGAGGGGGGGTTAGGAAATCAAAAGAGAGAAGAAAATAGGTTTTGGTAATGTCAAGGTATGGCTTAGTGTACCATACTTAAAACGGTCGAGGTATTGTGATACAAGCTATTGTTTTTAGAAATGATTTCATATCGATCGATACAATCATAAATTGTATATATAAATTGAACATCGTTTCTATAGTTAATATAATACTTCCACATTTCTATATATATAAACGAAAAGGATGAAACGATATTGCTTCTCTAAAAAAAATTGAGTGAGATATTTTGTTCAGAAAAGAAATTAGTATACTATTTATAGGATTTCTAAAGGAATAAAAGAATGTTGTCAATCCTATACCCTAAACCAATAAGAGTGAGAATTTCTAAAACATTTTTAGAACATTAAAAACTCTTAGCTTTGCTCCACTCATATTTTCTTTCGAGTACAATTACACATGCTATTTAGGTCTATAAAGTTGTCTCAGCAAGATATTTAGGTCTATGAATGCCAATGAAACTGAAGAGACAGTATACCTTTATAATCATGCAAAAGCTTTCCTTAAGTTGGCAGAAGATGCTATGTTTTTCAAAGTCAATTTAACCTGCGCCATTTTGCTGGAATTTTCTTGGCAAGAGAGCTACGTAGGTGAAAAACTGATAGTCCAACAGCAAACAACATAGTGCAAGGTTTTACGGTTGGTATAAACAATCTAAACTGTTAATGCCATTTTGCAGAAAGGAAGTTCTAAAAACAAGACATAGTTTACAGAATAAAGAATTACAAACAACTTAAAGCATCTGCATAATCTATAGGTGTGTGACGCAAGTTTTCGTAAAATGCTAGGGAGAAATGACAAAGAAAAAGAGAATGGATGCAGAAGAAATGAGTGAATGATTACCGGTAGCAATGGAAGCTGCTTGTTTTTTCTGAACAATAGGAATAAACGAAGTCACATTTGAAACTATTTATTGATCTTCGACTCCTTTTGTGAGAAACTTGGTCCAACTTTTCTTGGACTAGTTTTCTCAGATGGTTTTGGTTTACCGAACCTATTACGACGCGATTGACTTGCCCTTTTGGTAGAATTTACCCGACATTATACTGCAGTTTTCTTTCAACTTATTTGTATCTCTCCTCTTCGTGGCATTGTGTTTTCGAACCTTTTGCTTGGTCCCCTTCTCAGTCCCAATGAAGCTGTAGGCTGTGTTCACAGAGTCCAGGCTATCTCTATTTCAGATCCAGAAACTGATGGAGCTTTTGGACATTCCCTAATCTCAGCAAGTGGTTCCCTTTTGGCAGAGCAAGTAACTGTTTTTGAAGCAGTGCCTTCCTGAAATGCATCAATCACCTCTTCCATAGTTCCATGTTCTCATTTTCTTCATTAATGCTTTAGGATACCTCGCTTCTCTGAACTGTCAGAGTTTGATGAGATTCCATCCCAGAACTTGCCAACTGGAGAAAGATAAGGGTTCTTCACATTTCCAGTAAGCTGAGAATTAGACAATGGCAAGCAATCAGAAGAGACTCCTCCAAGCAGTGCACAGTTTGATTCCTCACCAAAGAAACTACAGCTAATTTTAAGGTGACTTTTTCTAATCATCATTTTCAGGAAGAGTGCTCTTCAGGTTCATGCATTCTAGAAGTCCTTTAGGAACAGATTGATGAAGACTGGTTGCATGGTTTGTTTCCTCACCAAAGCAACTACTGCTAACTTTGAAGTGGCTTTTTCTATCATCGTTTTCAGGAAGAGTGCTCTTCAGTGCATTCTAGAAGTTCATTAGGAACAGATTGGTAAAGACCAGTTACTTGGTGCAATCTACATGTGGATGGAAATTGAGGCAATGGGGTATGGATGCAAGCATATTTGCAAAGCTGCTCCAGAAGGCTAGTACATCCTATTGTGGTACTCAGAAGGTGCAGCTTTTCAAAGTTAATGCCTTCTCCTCCATTGCATAGTTGTTCACCATCAGTCTGAATAATAAACCCCTCAAGTTCTGGTCTTCTTTGATCTGCCTTGATCAAATCTGAAGGTGGTCGACAAGGAGAACTGATTAGATAAGTTGAAAACTCACCATCTTCTCCCAGTTGATATTTTCTTTCTTTGTTGCTCCTTTGATTATAAGCCAAATGTTGAATATTAGCAAAATCATATTTATCCCCAACCTTCAATATAATTTGCTTCTCATCTGCAGGGCATTTCTTTGTTGAACCAAACATGATTCGGGATGGATCTACTGCTTCTGTTCTGTCCACTGAGTGATCAAGATTTTCAAGGGACTCTAGTGGCAAACTTGAGACAGAAGCCACATCAAATTGGTTATGCATAAAAGTGGATGAGGTGTTTTCACTTCCGCCCCTTTCTTTTCGATCATATTTCCCCTGGCAACATAAAAAAGAGACATTCACTTGGCTAGAGTGTTCGATTTGCCAGTAAGAAAGTAACCTGTGTAATATAAAAATACACGTTCTACATATTGTGCTAATTATGAAATTAAAAGTAAAATCGGGGAAAAACGTCACCGAGTACATAGTACCTTCTGAGTAACTGAATTGAAAATATGTAAGCAAAGTGCAAGACAAGAGAATTTGAGATCCTTGCCCCAAAAGTTTTTTTTCCACATGGGATAGCCTCTATAGAAGTAGTACTCTCATTGAAAGAAACAATTAACTTTAGCTTAATCAATTGTTTTCTAGATAAAATTTAGTGAAAGTGTAAGCATTTTATAGCAGGAAAAGAGGTATAAGACATCCCTGGCTCACAGGAAGTAATAGGTATCACTATAATAAGGAATTGAAATAAAGGAAGATTTAGATCCACCCATTCTGTAGCATACCCCATTTTGTTCATCAACTCGAAACTTAGCACTTAATTGCTCAGCATCTTCCTCCTGGGACATAAAAGAACATTTTAGATTTAGAATATGCTTAGGATTATATTATGCAAAACTAACCAGTTAATAAATTCAAGTACTTCACCTTCAAGCTTAATGAAAAAGACAGGGAATTAATTTGTTGACCATTAATCTTCCTCCACTTATGAGGCCAAGAACCCTCCACATGGAAGCTAGAATGTTTACCTTGTCGTATGGACTGAACTGCAACATTCTCGTCACTTGATTTTGCACTTATTTGATCAAGAACAGAATCAATGTCACCAGGAATAAATCTTCCCTTTATAACTTCGTTTTGATTTTGAGAAGGGCTTGACCCCATTATCTCTTTCAGAGAATGATCCTTTGTTTCTTCAAACAATGCAGCACTAGACTGCCCAATTGCATTCTTGGAAGTTGCATCTGCTACCCTTAGCAGGGTAGGGCTACGAACCGATGGAACACTACATAAATCAGTAATAAGATTATTAGCTTCTCGAACCAACATTACAGGTTTTGCTGCAACCTAACCAAAATCCTTCTCAAAGAGATGATCTATCCCAGAATCGACAGTTATATTAGATCCTGCAACATCATGTAGCCAATTTCCACGAAAAGCATCATAAGAAACTTTAAAGGTAGTTGAAAGATCTTCCATGAAAGTTTCCTGTTCGGGGATTTCTTTGCTTTCAGGTACAGAACTTGTTACGGCATCCGTACAGGCGTCTGGTGTGTCTTCTACTGAGGAGAAAACATTTAAATTGGAAGTTCTAACACCAGATGTCTTGCTAAAAGCTGTTCCAGACAGTTTCTCTTCTTTGCAAAAAGCTTCTTGTTCCTCTGGCAACTGCTTTTCAAGGGATGAATTGTGCTTTTCTTGGTAATGAATATAAGTTACTTCATTTGGATTATCTGCAGAAGGAAGTAGTGTAAGAGAACTTTTCTCCAATGAGTTGATCACATTTTCAATGTTCAATATAAGACTAGAAGCTTTCTTCGTAGTGCATTCCCCCAAATCATCAAAATCAAGTTGCTTGGGCAACACCATCATAGCAAATGAAGATTGTGGACTTTTTCCTGTGGATTCCAACTCAACTCTTTCATACCTATTCAATGACTTGATAAGAGAAAGATCGTTACCACCATCCAAGTTAGAGGCGGAACTAGCTGAAGCCTCGACTAACTCAACAGAACCTGCAGCAGTGTCTGCAACAAATGCATCACATTGATTGAATTCAGCAAGATCACTACCATCAATACAAGGCAAGGAATCCACTTGAGTACCAGAAACTTCCATATGTTCAACCGCTTCAGACCTCTCTGATGACTTTGCACATAGGAACTGGTTGGAAGCTGTTGATTTGGATTGTGTAACTTTGTTCTCCAGAGTATTAGAGGAATCAAGTTTAAACACCTTTGTTCTAGAATTAGCTCTTGATCTGGTACCACCATCATTATTTTGATCCTCGAAATTTGTGATATCAAAAGGCTTAAGCAATACATTAAGATCACTAACATGACAGGGAAACTGCATTGATCTGCAAATGCCATCATTGATTCTCTTATCAGGACAACTATCCAGCTTCAAATTTTCATTTTCAAAGTTATGGAATGCGTAGAAATTCTGGTTCTTCTAAATCTTCCTTGATGGACATTGCTTTCCTTTACCTTGCTTCGGTGGTCTCTTGCATTCCTAGAAACACATGTTTCATCAGAGATAGCAGTAGGCTTTAACAATGCCAATAACTTATCAACAACAGGATTGCATTCCTCTTTGCCTGTTTTCATTTATATCAAGGTGAAACCTACTTTGCCTTTGTACAAACTTTCTATTAATTTTGGATTTATAAATTTTATTTCTTTAAATGAAAATGATTTAAATTAACAGGTTTGCATTCCTCTTTGTTTTTATCAAAATGTCAGTTACTTGGAACATGTTCAACAGGCTTACTTCAAATGTACATGAAAACTCGAAATACCCTTTCAAAAAACAAAGTAAAAGACAGTTAAAGCAAAAGATGTTTAACCTTACCAATGAATGCACCCAACTGCATTAAAGCAACAACAAAATAAAACCCCAAATGCCACACCAATGCTTTTCTCGAGTTTATCTGTTTACACATATTTTTCTTGCTTTTTTGTTCATCTTTATCTTTGTCACATGTACTGACCAAATGGATCAAAGTTATTATTAGTCAAAGAAGCCTGTGAAGAAGATGATCCTCCTCCAGCAGCACCCCCAGAACCATCTCTTAAATACCCTCCCATGGCGGTTGTCCCATCGAGAAACCCCTGGTGATGATGTCCCACATGGAAACCAGGTGGTCCGTAAGGCGGCGCCATCATTATCGACGACCCATAGTCTATACCACGCTTCAGAATCGGCTCTCCACGCAGTGAAGTCCTCTCGTTCTCGGTTTCCCGATAGCGGTTCAAGAAAGCGGTGAGCGGCTCAACGTACTCGTCGAAACCCAACTTTCCCATGGCCCAAAGCACGTCATCGGCGGTGATGGTCTTGCGTTGCTCGCGTTGGCAACGTTCGTTGGCTTCCCCGGTGATGAAGCTGATGTACTCCGAGACGCATTCTTGGATGGTTATCTTGGCGTCGTCGGAGATTTTCGCATGCGTCGGGAGGATGCGGCGCATGATACGGATCACGTTGGCTATAGGCATGTATTGATCCTGTTCACGTACCGTAGACGGCGGAGGCATGGTGTTTGAGTTGGCGGCGTTGCCATTGTTGGTGCCGGCGGTGTTACTGACGATGCCATTGTCGTTGTTGGAGTTTGAGGAGCCACCATGTATGATGTTCAACCCTGAGATAATTTATTAATTACGAGCACCAAAAACATGAGTTTATCATTCCAAGTCCCATAATATAAAGAAATTCCATTACGTTTTAGATAAATTTAAATTTTAAAAAAAAATCAACCAAATATTAATGGGAATTAATTGGGCCCACCTATCACTGTTTAGATTCTTTATTTATCAGATCAAAGTCAAAGCCCTTTCCCCTTTTCCAGATTTTAAGATTTCATCTTTCCCAAAACTCAATAATAAATTCAAACACAACTTATATATATTATTTATGGGAATGTTTTCATTTTTAATTAAAAATACTGAATAAATCTAAATAAAAATAAAATAAAGCATGCCTTCACTTTTAGACATGATTCAGAAACAAAAAAGATATATAAATATACAACATGAAAAAAAAATGAAAAACTCAAAAGTATGATACTACAACTTATTAAAATAATGGAATTATGACACAATAACGAAAACAAATAAGATATGAGTGTATGGATCGTCACTTTCGCCCGTATTATATCAGGCAATATAAACATACAGGATATATTCGAGTTCATGCATGCAAACCATTATTGAAAAGGAATTAAGATACAAGTATAAATGACTTATTTGATAATATACCACATTTTATATTTTTATTACGTGATAAATAGTTATTAAAGAAATAAAAAAGGAGTTCGTAGCAAGAGAAAGAGACAAGGAGAGTGAGCAACCGTTACTATAAACATTCAGAAGAAGTGGATTTTAAGTCAAAAAAGCTGGTTTGAATATATTCAGCTTTGAAGCTAAAACTGAAACAATGATGTATCTAAAGATTTAAAGAAGACATAAAAATGGAGATTTGGAATAAACAAAACAAGTTTGAAGCGTTGCATGCAAATAAACTAACAAACACACTGTGTTAAATCCAAACGAGAATTTCGAGATCGAACTCTCATCATTTAAAAACAAAAACTTGAAGGGTTTGGTTTGGGGATTCGTTGCTGTTGTTTTTGGCTTACCTGAACTTGGTTTTGCATGCTTGTAAAAACGATTGAACCCATCACCACGTTCCATGCCTTCGTCTCTCAAAAAAGAAGGGAAATTTTTTTGTAAAATATGGGTTTTAAAAAGGAAGTTGAGTAAGGGACTTGTGTCCTTAGAATGGGTACATGACCGTTCCAAGTAGGGGATTTATAGTGCTAAACACACTCCACATGTCAAACCGACGTTTCTAAAGAGTATTGCTGGTCACACCAACCTCTCTCATTGGACAATGCCTCCCCTTACCGGGATTTACAGGTGGCCAATCTTAAAATGTTCTTAAACACAAAATTATCTCTACCTTTCAAATATAATGTTCTAAAAAGATAATTATATAAATCAAATCAAATATATTTTAATTATATGTTTAATGACTTCTTACCTCGGGAAGTGCTATTGCTGGTATATCATAATTGTGACAAGTCATTCTTATTTGAATTAATTTTTATATATGTACGTTAAAAATTTCGTATTTATATCAGTAATTTTTAAAGTAAAGAATTAAAATCTTTCGATTGATTTTTATTTCTTTTAAATTGTGGGTTTTGAAACCCATTACGAGGAAAAAATTTCCTTCTTCCTTTCCCCTAATAGAATTGTTCAAAAAAACTTTTATTTATTTCTAATTCCACTTTACATAAGGAAACATATACTTGAAAGTTAAAAGGCAAAATACAACAAATATTTTTTTTTTTAGAAAATTTTTAGTTCATTCATATAAACAGTCTAAACTTCTAGTGCAATATTATGTACACTTTAAGAAAACATTTATCAGCTGGAGTTGAAGTGGGAAACAAATGGAAGAAAGTTTAATGAAAATATAATACAAAGATTGCAAGGAGAGAGAGAGAGAGAGAGACTCAAATCCCACAACTTCACAAACTAATATAAATCAGGTAAAGAATCTTAAGGGTCCTAAAACAGATATCAAAACCCTTTTGAAGCAGGGGAAGCGGAGAAGATGGGCTGGGGAAGAAAACATATGGAAAAAATGGGTAAATTGACATTTTATGCCTGAACTATTTTGAATTTACAAAAAGACCCATATTTAGTAATTTATCTAAAGTTCAAGAGTTCAAGTAAAAATTAAACCCTTTTACTAACGTGTCACGTCATCAAACTAACGGAAGCTAACGTTTCAGTGACCACATCTTATTAAAACAAAACGAAAGTGACTACGAATTATATTTTTTGAATCCAGTGACCATATGTTTATAAAACTGAAACAAAAAATGATCAACTCTTTAGTTTATCCTTTAAAAAAATTGAAGATTTAGGTATTAAAACATATAAAAAATTACAGTTTAGGTACTAAATACTTAATTTACCCAATACTTTTATAGCAGTTAAGGTTGGTGGCATAATAATTTGACTTCGCTGACCATATCTTTTTGTTATCTAAAATTAATATTTTTTAAGAAAATTTTTAGTCCAATCACACTCATATTTATAAATGAATCAAGAATTCATTTAATCACTAGTTAAAAATAAGCATTATTTTTTTAAAAGATTTTGAATTCGAGAAATTACGTTTATAAGATATATATATATTGTTAACAATTAAAAAATATTATGAACAAATACTATTCGTGAGATTTCTCGAAGCATGGATACTTCTGATAATGTGATCTGCTCTCCTTACATAGGAATGGGTGCTCTATAACAAGCAAAGGTGTATAAAAACCGTTAAAATCTTCACGTACCAGGAAACCCAGAAAGACAAGAAAGCAAGTTTGGTGATCCATGATTTTGTAGATGAGGTATCATGAGATCCTTAATGCAATTTATCCGGTCTTCCTTTGTCAGCTAAAGTTTGTGTACTTATTAAGCATGCAAGGTAACCATTGTCATATGTTTTAGCTCTAAAAAGAGAGGTCATTGCAGGAGTCACGGTGGTTCTTAATATGCAGATTCCTCTGTATATCCGAATCGGTTTCTTCTAAATTATCCTAACCCAGTCTCTTAAGTTGTGATAATATTCTCGATAGAATGTATAAGTTCAATTCTTTGTACAGATTACAGTCCATGCGGTCGTTGCTAAAATATTAGTGGGAATATTTGGATACTGGAAAAAGGACTGATTGAAGTTATAGATTTTGAGTCGTTTACTTGCATCTTTTATTGTAAGTTCAATTCAGGGACGACAATTAAGGGGCAGCAATGTCCTTTGCCCATAGCACTAGGGGTAGGCAGGGGCTTCCTCATCCTCGAATGTTAAGTCTATGATTTAGTACCTTTGAAAATTATATTTTTTCTGCTAAATTAAACATATAATTATTTTATTATAATAAATTATAAAATGAACATTCCAATTAACAAAAATTATAAATTAATACCGTTTTATTAAAATATTAGTGGGAGGTGCATGGCCTTTAACATTATCAGCATAATAATAAATTTATTTTTTAATCTTTATATATTGTTATACATAAAGCTTAGTTCTAAAAAAACTAATCCTCAATATTTAAATACTACACTAATTTTTATTTCTTCTTCTTTCCAATGTTTACCCTTCATACCATCTTTTTAATCCATTTCAATTTCTCTCTTCCATTCAACGCCTCCTTAACTCGGTTCATTTTTTAATTTTTTAAAATTCATTTCATTATTTTCTCTCATTTTTTTTAAAAAAAATCCTAAGCATAACATAGTACAACTGGTTGGTTCTTCTCTATATCTATAATTTTGATTGTACGTTCATTTCAAATCATATGAAAATCAATGAAGAAAAATATTTAACTTCCAAGTAGAGAATTTATCGGTCTCAATAAAATTGATCATAGATGAAAGCATAATCAAATACAAAGAAGGATCAACTATTTTATTTTTGGATATTTTTATTTTTAATAAAATTAGTTACTTTTATAAAAAAAAAAAATTAAAGATCTGAAATGTGGAGTTTGAAACAATCTCATCATTAAACTTTCCATCTTCTAATATATACAGGATATTAAGAATTTTTTTTAAATAATTTGGGTGAAATAATTATATGAATGAACTAAAAATTATATAAAAAAACAATTATTTGTTGTCTTTTGCCTTTTCACTTTCAAGTATATGTTTCTAAATTCAAACATCCCTTAAAGAATTATAAGTTATTAAGCAAAATGGAATTAGAAATAAATTTAAGTTTTTTTTTCTTTGAACAATTCTATTAGGGGAATGGAAGAAGGGAAAATTTTACTCTGGGTTTCAAAACTCACAATTTAAAGAAAAAAAGAAAGTATCAATTGAAAGATTTTAATCTCTTACGTTTATAAAACCGAAACAAAAGTGATTAACTCTATAATTTACTCTTTTTAAAACTATAACTAAAGTTTCGTTTTTATTTCATTTTAATACTCCGTCGTTAGGTTTTGAAAAAAAAAATAAAAAGTTAGGTACTAAAATGGATCAAAACTGATAGTTTGACACTAAACACGTTAATTTTTTAACGAAGACGTATCAAAATGAAACAAAAAGTAAACTTTAGGTATGATTTTGAAAAAATTGAAAGTTTAGATACTAAAACGGACCAAAACTGATAGTTTAGATACTAAATGCATAATTTACTCTAAAAATTATGATCATGAATAATAATACAATATAAATAAAAATAATAATAATAATCCCTAACAACCGCAGCTCAACGTAAGGTGGAAATCAAAATCGTAACAATGTGTATTACCAAAATCATAACAACAATAAAAAAAATCAAACTTACCAAAATCACAAACATTTACTTAATCTAACATAAACACACTTAAAATACACAAACTGAAGGCTTGTAATAAACTGACTTATTTTTCTCCAGTATATATATAAATGAAAAAAAGAAAATGGAAGACAACAAAAAAATTAGAAGTAAAAAACTTAAAGCAACAAAAACACTAACAATAAGCTCAATCCAACAGCAACAGACCTTCCACCTTTAAAACTCACACCTGCATTATCATCAGCTGTCTGATCAGCTGCATCGCCGTACGGTGTATCTGCCGGCGAATCCGACGCAGGTTCCGGGGCCGACTTGGACTTTGATTTCGATTTGGACGCTTTCGGTGCATCTGCTGCCTTCTCCGGAGCTGGTGCCGGTGCAGGAGTAGGGGCTGCCTTGAACAATTCACTAGGCATCAATACCTTGTCGATCGTATAAATTGCAACCGGCTGTTCATCGAGTAAAGTCCCGGTGATTTTCACGGTGTTGATCTTGGTCTTGAGCGTCACCTCTTCGCCCTCATTCTGCACGGTGAAATCGAACTTGCTAGCTCCGTCCGTGGCTAACGTGTTCATCAGTCCGTTGTTGGATTTCAACATGGATAGAGATTGGTACACCGGCACACCGAAAAACTCGAGAAGTGATTCTTTCCCTGAGGCTGTCAAGTTCTTGAACTTTGGTAAAAAGGCTTTAAATGCATCATCCAGTGGGCAGAACACAGTTAATCCTAATCCTCCCTCAACATTATCCTACAAGTGACCATTACCACCACATATTCAGTATTAGCAAAAGATCAAATATTTAAGCAATGAATCAACCAAACAATCAGTCAAATTTACTATAATTACAAAACAAAACACAAATTTTCAGCTTACCTCATATGTTCCCATGGCTGCATGATTTGCCAGAAGTGAATCGGCAAACACTTTACATCCATGAGCTGACATGATCCCAGTAATATTCTGCTCACTCGGCCCTGGCGTAGGAGCCTCAGCTACAGCAGAAGGCAAAGCCTTGCTGATCTGAATCACAGATATATTATAAGGAAGCTCCTCAACGGATTTAACAAATAAAGAATCCAAACTCCCACCATTATCTTCAGCCCCAAAACCAACTTTCCCACCTTTGAAATCGGTTATATTAACAAATCCCGAAACCCCAGGAGCCACCCCGGTGGCTTGGAACATGGTGGCAGCAAGTGCGGTGCCATTGGTTATCTGGTGAAGTTTCTTGGCACCGAAGTAATCGAGGAGGACGTGGAGGGAAAGGATGTTTTTTCATGGTGTAAATGGAAGGGTTTTTGGATAGGAGAGATGACATGGCGGCGTTGTCTATGGTG